GATCTTAATACCAAACCTTTGCTGCAATGGAAAGAAAATCTGTGGGATACAATTTCTTTTATTAAGGTGAGAGCTCTTTGCATTGTTCACAACTGACACCTGAAACCAAAATGAATGGCACGACAGTACCTTGAAGTTGTGAAACATTAATTACCAACATTTTCCATTTTCTGTGGGGCGGCTACGAGTCGCACTTCCAAACAAACGACAGTTCGCACACTCAGAGACCCAAACATGTGAGGCCAAACAGGCAGAATGCACACATCCAGTGTCACGGTGTGTAGTCATGTCTCACCATGGCTAAACCCTACCATTACCCTGCAGCTTTGTCTCAGACCCTAGATGACTCTAAACAACATTTAAGGGAGAAGAAAGCAGTTGTTTAGTGATAACTGCTCAAATCATCCCCTAAGTTCATCTAAACAGGGATACATACAACAGCCATTATAGCTATCATTGTCATCATCTTCAAACATGCCACCCACAAACTTGCTCACACAAGCAAGCGACACAAGCTGAGGGTACTGCTCTGCAGAAGCTTCAGCCTACACAGTGCAGTGGAATTGTTTGTTTTTCTAACAAGACAGGAAATTCTGTTGGAATAACTTTAAACAAAAAGCTGATAAGTATGTGCCCCAACAGATCACTTGTGTGTATGATGTTTGTCCTAATGTCACACAAAAAGCACTTCACCGGCTCCAGTTGTGCTTTGATCAGCTTATGTTAGTGTTCAAGTGTCGCCCCCATTGAACCCACTGGATTGGGCCAAGTTGTAGTCTTAGTGTTAAAGGAAAAATAAGTGACAGGATGCGGGTTTCTTTTGATAAGATTCATGCCTCTATGTCACAAATAAAGCTAATCCAAGGTACGGTACAGGTCGCTGTGACAAAGATTATACTGGTCACGGTCCAGTGTACTCACCTCTGATATCCTATTTATAGTATGCTGCTATTTATATTTTAGATCAATGTGCCTTGTGTCAGTGAGCTTGGAAGCAACTGTGCAACTTTTGACGCCTCATCCTGAACAGTGAAAGGAAAGGGAACCAATCAGACTGCTTGGGTTCCTTCTGTGGAATTTTATAGTAAGGTGACCAGCAGGTATTGTTTCAACATAGAAGGGCGTGAGGTAACGTTGCACAATGGCATGTGTGTATGAAAAGCTTGAACTGATGTGTTTTAGGGGGGGTTTGACAGGTGGGTCACTGTGGATAATTCAGGAACTGAACAAAAAGCAGAACGTGTACAAGGAAGTTTAAGCAGGGATTAGCTTCCTGATAACAGTGTTAACTGTACTTTATTACTATTTACAGGCAGAAGAACCGAAGTGTGCACGTTCACACACATGCAGCCCTGCAACACAGGTGTACTTCATCTAGAAAGTAACTTTAGACTCAGGGACTGTTTAGGTGTCAGTTAATCATGCATGAGCCTGTGGAACTTTTGAAGCAATGCAAAAAGCCTATGTTGCAATTAAGGTAGTCCAAGTTATCATCAATAGGAGAATCCCTTCACAGGAGATTAGAGGCCTGGAGAGGAGGGATAATGTGTTGCTAAATGTAAATGGCTGATGCTGATTTCCTACATTTCCCACTGACTTTTGAAATCTTATTAAAGAAATGGTAAATGGACTGCTACTTATACAGCAGTTTTTTTTTCTAATCCATTTGAATGCTCAAAGCACTTTCTTGCTACAATGCTCATTCACTTATTCACACTTTTTCTATGCTTACGAGCTTTTAACCTGACATCCACATAATCATACTCCAGATGATGCATCGGGGGCAACTCAGGGTTCAGTATCTTGCCTGAGGATAGCTTGACATGTAATCACAGGCTAGAGGAGCTAGGCATTATTAGAGTACTATCCTACTACTACATACTGCCCCAAAGTAGCAATACAAAGAAAATGATTAATGTAACAATACGTAATATTCATTTAACAATTTACAAGCAGCAAAAACAGCACGGCAATTACAATTTGGGAAGTTTTCCTGATGAAACTGGATGCCTTTAAATAATAAACGTCACTTGTGGCGAATTTGTATTTCAAAGCAACAATGCTGAAACCTAACACCTGTAATTCTGTGACCATTAACATTTGATGACAGATCGCCTGGCTGTTACACTTCTGCCAAAAAACAGATCACAAATGAAGGTATTACATCACTCAACAATAAGTCATTTCAAACCAAAGAGGGAATTTTTTTATAGCAACTTAGGAACAATTCCATACCACCTTAATGACAAATATCTCTTTAATGAATGTAAATATTGGATTATCTATAACTAGAAAAACAATCAAGAATCAGCCAAGACTGACTGCTGAATGCTCTAAGCACAATGACTCAGTTACTATGTCACTCTCAATGCTATTTATGCAGCACATTTAATTACATGAAAATTCAATGTATTTTCCATAACAGATAAAAACATAAAAAACAACTACTACAATGAACTCAGGTGTTTACTTTATGTGTCACTACCTAGCTGCAGTCATCCCCTGCAAGAGAATTAAGTGTGATCTGCAAGAATAATGTTGATAAAAACAACAACAACAATGTGTTAATCTTGCCCAGGGCCACAGATGTCTAGATATAGCCCACACTTTTTCTGATGAAAACCCTCCACAACTTCATATGAATTCCTATCTTACATGATTTGCGTGGCTGAAACAAAAGCATAAACATTATTTTACCTCCTGCTTGCATTCCGAGGTGCTAGAACAACAACTCTGTGTTGTACAACATGAAAAGCAAAGGTTAGTTATGTAAATTAGGACTTCTTACAATTCATAAGATTGCACTGTTGTATTGTAAAAATAGATCTGAACTATTTTCTTTTATTTCTTCCTTTTAAAACACATGCAAACACAGCTTCTAAGTAACACAATTGGTAGTCTTGAGTGGTCCAGGAGACTAAGCACAGACCTCCAAGGCTGTCTGTTGAACAGAGAAGTCTGAATGATGGATGCATTGAAATTGCCCGTCTTTTCTTCAGAGTCTCGCCCACAAAGGGTCTGTTTCCCATTCAGGACACAAGGTCATTAGATAATACACACGAGGATCGCAAGGCCACACAGTGGGGCGGGATCATTCAGCACAACAAGCCTCCGCAAAAACTTCTTGACGCCTTAACTCAAGTAGTCTCTGCAGGAAGTATATGCCCATCCAGAAACAAATATACTGATGTGAAAGCTCACATACACATTGAAATTTCACAGATGGTTACACATGCACAAGGATGGGCTCAATAGTTTGACAGTGGGAATCATGACATCATCATGTTCCCCTCCCACCTCGCTATTCAGTCACAGCAGAATTATTTATCCTTTGAAAATGGGTTAAATGAATGCTTAGGAATGTCCTTTTCTTTCTTTCTTTTTTCTATTTATCCTCTGTTGTAATCACAGGCATATGCATCCGTACATGTTTGTAGAATTGTTTTCGGCACCTGGTTGGCAGAGACCCAATCAAGATTTTGTTATTCAGCGATGCTGTGGGAAAAATGCCCTCAAATGAGGAACTGCTGGTTCAGTGAAGTGTCAGCATGTAGCAGTTACCATGGGACAAAAAGTTATTCTGAACATGGAAACTTTGAGAGGTTTGCCAAAATTAAGAAAGAGTGGAAACTGAGCAAGTTATGCTCTGGATGGGGAAAAGTGTTTCCACTCCATTCGTGAAGCTGTCAGATTTCAGCTTGTCATGGTTAACTCAAAGCGCTCTGAAACTCATTTCCTGAGTGGCGTTGTTAGTTCCAAATTGAAGCCAGGAAGAATGTAGGAAGAAAGTGGGCGGGGGAGAGATGTTTGAGGCAGAGGGAGATGAAGCAGGGATGGACCAAGTCTGTCCTCTACTTCCACTTGGGCACATGCTCGAGCTGGGGCCTTGGATTTTTTTTTCTTCATCAAAGTGAGTGGATGTAAAGCAAGAGAGGGGTAAATTTGCATGTATTTAATTTTAACTTTACTGAGTATAGCCTGCAACAACATGCTCATATCAGAGGATTACAAAACGCACAAGCACACACACAATGTGCATGAAATTAAAAAAAAAAAAAAAGAGGAAGGGGAGTACACAATAAGACTGACACTGTTTGTAAAAGAAGGGTAGATCACCATAGTGACAGATCAGCCAAACCCTATGGCAAAAACACTGAATGAGTCAAGTGTCAGATGCTCAGGTTACATGGGCATGATCTCAGTCCAGCATTCTTAGAACCTAATAAATGTATTTCTTTCTTTGTTCATTAGTCTGTTAAATAATCTAAAAACTAGATCTGACATTAAAAACAACTGATTAAATCACACTTTTCTAAACTGTGAATTTAGGTTGAATATTGGTTCTTCATCTAGCTACACCCCCCGGCCAGTAAGATTTCTCCTAAAACTTTGTTAGTCATCTTCGCTATTGCTCTACATTAATAAGTCTCGTTGCTCATATGGAGTTACTCATGCATGCAGTGCTGCCTTTCAAATTAAGAGGCCTCTGCCTGAAAGACAGCCCATGTCAGGGATCAGCACATCTGCAGAAAGACGATCCGGCAAAGCCTCACAATTCCTGGGGGAGAATAGCAAAGTCACGGAGATCCAGGTGCCGCGCACCGAGCCACACCAGCAGCCTGGCGTGCGTAATGAACGGCAATTAAAAGTGAGTGCATCCCTTTGGCAATAAACCACCCTGCGTGCACAGAACTTGCAAATACATAGCAGGCTGTGAGCTATCTCTGTGTTGGCCACCTCCATATCCGTCACTGGATTAGCTTAAATCTGCCCTCTTCTTACGCAAGAGGCTGTTTTCCATCTTACGCGCATGGAAAACAAGATGGAGAGCATGAAAGTTTGATTAAAGTTGCGAACTTTACTTGAATTTCTGACCGCGTTATAAAAAAATATAAACGCTAACAGAACAACAAAGTCGGAGCTCGGTCTGCTCTTATGAAAAAGGATAAACTCAGGTGTGGCTGGCAGATGCAGATTTGTGTAAAAGCAATATGTGTTACCAGCTCGTGGAAGAACGGGGGTTGAGGATGTCCTCTTTGGCCGTGAACAGCGACAGGCTGTAGGTATCAAGGTTGACCGTTCGCTTGCTCATTGTGGCAAAAGTTTCCAGACCACTCCCGCAGCTTCTCTGTTCACGGGTCCCGATGCGTCTCGGGGTGGGGATTAGAGTATTTTCTGGAGAACAGTCGCAGCAGAAAACTGGGGTTCGGCCGAGAGAAAACTGCAGCAAATGTGTCCAGGTTCATTCAATGTGGCCCTTTTAGGTCCAAAAGGAGCGATCCGTGCAGCCGCTGCGCACTCACAGCGTGGAGGAGACTGGGACTGCACACGGTCTTTGTGCAGCTGGTTAAGAATACGTTTTTATGGGGAGCGCCCCACCTCCTGTTAAGAGAGTGGAAAGCCTAATGACTTCACTAGCTGGTCACTTGGAAGAAAAAGTGTGCAGCAGAGGAACACGGCCACTGAGCTGCACTGTTCGCGAAACAAAGAGACGTTTTCATTTCCCAAGTTAATAACTGGGCAACTTGACAAAATTTATTACTTAACTGATGGACCACAACTTGAGGCAATTCAATAAATATAATTATTTTGTTCTAATTGTCTTTTCTCCCTCACTATAATGTTTTTGATAGCAAAAATTGGAACAAAAACGAAACACAATGGGAATTTCTGATGTTTAGAGGGGCTATGGGGGAGTGCAGCAGCCTTGGATCTGTCACTCTCTCTTTGTCTCTGATTCTTGTGAATCGGACACCTCTGGTCCTTGGTAAACTCCGCAGAAGCGTTTTACAGTGAAGGCAAACTCTCAATAAGCCAAAGAAGGAGCAATTTCATGGGAGCCAAGTGTGAAGCAGTCTGTGCATTACACACACACACAAAGGGAGAGGAGACTGTTTCAGTATTTAGCTGCTGGGGGCCTGTTCAGCTGCGGCTCAAGCAGGGACGCACACACTCACATACACACATGAACTGTCCACGAGCTCGTAAATACACACACTGCCATGCATTCATGCACAGGCTCCCACATGCACACTTACACAGGCTGTGAACTCTAAGGCACTCCCTGTTAACATGCAAACACACAAATGGATGTGCACGCACACACACTCACACAGTGGTATTTGCCTTTGGGTCAGTCGCACAGGAGTTTAAGATCTTGGATTATGGGAATGTTCCTGAGCTCTTTAATTTACTTAGCAGTCATTCTTAAGTAATCCAGGACAGATGCAGAGGATAAAAGTCACAGGTTTTTATGTTCTGATGTGTCAGGCTCAGGTTAGGTATGACCACATAAATTTCAAC